CCCCAAAACCCCAAAACCCCAAAACCCCAAAACCCCATTAGGGAATGTTAATTTTAAATTCGAAGGAATGAATAAAATAAATATGAATTATCAAAACATAATGAGTGTCCCATAGCACTAAACGAAAAATTCATATTCTGATTCAGGTAATACTCTCTAATGATATTTATCTGCTTAAAATAGAGGGCTATGTAAATGAGATTGAGATGTCCTAAGGAAGTTCAAAAGATCAAAGCACCAATAGTAAAAACAACATTAATTTCAGTAATAATGTTACTAATTATCCACCAATGCTATTCAATCAGTCATCATTGAAATCCGAAGTTCTTTAAGATTCTTGGAGCAAGCAGAACTCAAAGAAGTCAGCAGGAAGTTAATTGAGCAAAGCCTAAAAAAAGAAAAAAAACACTGGCCCCATGCCCTCGTCTTAGCAAGTGAGCCAAAACTTATTCATAAATTTCTCAAACCTGCCAGCAAGCAGCAGTATCGGTAATAAATTCATTTTAATCATTTTAGGAATCCCTAGCAGTACAACCGGCACAAATGAATAGCAAAAGCTTAGTGCTAAGTCACAACACCCTCGAAATTAAGTGCTAAACAACCCACCATAACCTCCATACTCAACCAATAGCAATAATTTATTGCTAGAGAAGTGATAGTCAGAGGACCCAAATGAGGCAGTTAAGGAAGTATTGAGATAAATTCTAGATGAGGAAAACAGGAAAACGACTAATCATCACGGGCCTCATGGATTATCGTTTGGAGGTCTCTCATCTATTCCTAAATTCACTAAAGATATTATCAGGCAAGAGTTATTGCATGAAAAAGCCTAAAACTAAAATACATCTCATTCAGTGTCTGGTTTTACTTCTTCAACAACCACATCAGCTTCAACAAATAAAAATAAAAACAATAATCTGTCAAGAAGACTTAATCAGTAAAAAATTTTTAATAACAATAGCAATAGCGTGGCATCGACTTAGAATCAAACAGCAGAGATACTAAGCATAAACAATAATGGCAAGGACTCGCATTAGCAGGAATATTTAGAAAAGTAAATAGTGAATAAATTATTTGAGTCATCATCTAATGAGATCCTTAAATTACCCAAAGTAAATAATAACATTATTTAATAGCAACAACAACAATAGCTATCATAACTTTCCACGATGAATCAACAGTAAATGAGTTCTTTTTCACAACAGTAGTCTTAATTATAGACACAGCCAGTTAAGCAAGCAAATAAATCTTCTAAAATAAGATCTGCTCATCTGAACAATGATAGAGAGTCCATTGATAAACAGAATCTGCTATTAGTCTGTCAAAATATAAGCTCGCACAGTAATAACTTAAATGATTAAGACAAATCAAGCTCCTCGAGCAAGTCCTAGGCAAATAATAGCGCTAAGAAATAACAAACGACTACACAATCTTAACAGTCATCTCAGCAGTAAATGCATTAAACAAAGAAGGGAGTAGCTCAAAATCCCTAATAAGAAAATAATGAATTCTTGCCCAAAACTGGAATCGAATAGGTTTTTATGAGGCAAAGGACAAGCTTCATAAGGACACACGTTAAATAGGAAATGATATATGAAGGTTCAGTCTATTCGAGACCCTTTATAGAGGAGTATAAAAATAAAGAGATCAATAGACAATCTAATATTATGACTAAGCTGGTATATGACTGCAATGAAATTTCCCCCTATTATTCCTCATAAAATGAATACCTGAGGATTGAAGACTAAATATAAATTCCTATAGAAAAAACTGAAAATGGAACCTTATCAAATATATACAGTCGCCAGCTTTCAGCTCCTAATCAAACTAATAGATACTACGAAAAACTACAGCCATACTATAAATTAAACGACTAATCCGATGACACTCTTTTATTTGAGTCTAGATTCGAATCTGGTAACCTTAAACGAGCTACACAGCTTGATAGATACGAATACGAACTATAATTAAAAACAGATCATCCAAATACAAACAACTACACATAATGGTATTACTTTAAAATTTCAAACACTCGAAGGTTTAGGCAGTATCAATTCCATATAACTAACTTTATCAAGCCAGAATCCTCCTATAACGAGGGTATGAAGCCTCTCATATATTCTAAGAAGGAAAGTGAAGGTGGAAAGGTAGGATGGATTAGAGCAGGTGAGGATATTGCTTACTATCAAACAATCTCAAAAAGAAATCAATCGAATGGAGTAAATAGCCAGCAGTTATATACCCTCTCTTTCAAGATTCAGTTTAAACATGACTAAGACGAGATATATTTTGCCTATTGCTATCCTTATACATTCTCAGATTGCCAGAGACACTTAGCAAAGGTATGCACTAGTGCGAATAGAGACAAAGTTCGAAGAGCTGTTCTCTGTAAAACCATAGCAGGAAACGATTGCGAGATGCTAATTATCACGAACTTCGCTTCATCAGCAGAGGATATTTCTGAAAGGCCTGCCGTCATTTTGACTGGTTGAGTCCACCCAGGTGAGTCGAATGCTTCTTATATAATGGAAGGGATCATAGATTATTTAGTGACGAGTGAAGACAGTGGAGCATAGGCCTTAAGAAATAGGTTTGTGTTCAAAGTAGTTCCGATGTTGAATCCTGATGGAGTAATTGTGGGTAATTACAGATGCAGTCTATCAGGCTAAGACTTAAATAGATAATGGATATCCCCTAGTGGCAGACTGCATCCTGAAATCTAGACTGTTAAACAGATGATGAGGAAGACTTTAGAGTCCCGAGCTATTTATTTATTCTGCGATTTCCACGGGCATTCGAGATCAAAGAATGCTTTTATGTATGGATGCAATAACAACACATCAAAAGACAAGAAACTGAAGGAGAAGATATTCCCTTTGCTTTTTAGCAAACTATCAGACAACTTCAGCTTCGAGGGATGCTCATTCAACATTTAGAAGTCGAAGGAGTCTACAGCCAGAGTAGTAGTCTGGAAAGAATTCCAACTTATTAACTCCTTTACTTTGGAGTGCTCATTTTGTGGACCCAATAAAGGCCTATATAAGGACACCCACTTCAACACATAAATGATGCTAGATTTAGGCACTAAGTTTTGTCATACATTGCTGGATTATTCTGAGAAAGATCAGTTCAAGGTTAAATAAGCTATGAAGGAGCTAGAGCTGCTTTACAATAAGTCTTAATCAAATAACTTGGCAGGTCCAGCAAACAGTGTGCTTGATGATATTGAAAAGTTCAACATTCAGCCAAGCATATCAGCCAACAAAACAGATAACTTAGTTATTAAGTCAGAATAAATAAAGAGCACGAACAGTGTCGATGTCCGCTAGAACTAGCCAAAAACCTCTTACATAAGGGCTAAGTATGCTGGGATCAAGCGAGTGAGAGGCAAAAATGGCTAGAGTAGCAAGGATGATAATCCTTAATAGAATCAGATGCAGTAATAATAAAATCAAATGCGAGAAAGCACGCAGCAGAATACTGGCAGCTTGCTCAGTCATAATATTGCGTAAGCAGGAATTCTGGCTACTTAGTCAGCAGGCGGAGGTAGGTCGAGGTCGACGACTAACGGTATGAATGGGAATTTCGTAAAGATTGGTGAGAAAGACACTGTTAATAGGGATAATGATTGAGGAGAATGAACTCTTTAGTTAACATACCACTATGAAAATAGATAAGAAATATATGGTGGCTTAATCTATAAAATAATACTAATTGGATATATCAACTTAACTCATCTCTATCAAATAATGCTTGATTGATGGGGTTTTGGGGTTTTGGGGAGATCGGAAGAGCACACGTCTGAACT